TTCCGATTTAGCCTGTTGCAGACACTTTCTCCATTCACCTACCTGCATTTCCAACAGAACCGATGCTTGTTTCTCTCCTCCAGATGCAGCTGTATGTAGAAGAGCGAGCCCACAAAGGGACCTGATTCCAACTCTTCCTTGCCTTCAAGCCTCATCTGAGCTTCCAGTGGAATAAGATATCTCACAAACCATACCCTGATAACCCTCTCTTCAGCTGGCCTTCTGGGTGAATGTAGAGCAGCTGCTGCCTCTTTGTTTCAAGTGCTCTTACCACTGTACATAGAACTGACTTGGAATGTGGAGCCAGAGCCTGTTCCCATGTGCACTCGTAGGTGAGCGTGCGTATAGGTGTTGTCACAGTGAATCCCTGGGGGCAGGAGAGGGGCCGGGTGTGCAGTCAAGTCCAGTTCTCCGACAGGGCCCCTCCACTGCACACTGGCAGTGCTGTACAGCCATCGGTTACGTGCTGCACCAGAGCGAGGGACTCGTGCTAAGGGTGAGCGAGGCCTTATGTAGTGTCTGTCCACTGTGACTGTCCCAAGTACTCTTCAATAAATACCAAGTTTTACCTGAGCTGAACTAGGCTGAGTTCTGTCCAAACCAGCCTCCCCCCTTAACTGAGGAAGTGTTTTTATTTTGTAAGGAGCTTTGTATTTTATGTGGAGCTTCCACCACTTCTCCGTACCCTTTCTGGAACGTACTGGAGTCTCTCCGTTCTCAGGAGAGGCTACGCAGCCTCGGCCTCTCCCCTTTCCACGGGAGAGCTTTCTCCCTCAAGTGGCATTAGCAAGGTGGGCTTCGTGCGTCCAGCAAGGGCACCTGCCAAACGTCCTGCTCCTAACAGAGACCGGACAAGGGAAACCCTGTTAATCCTACAGCTGTCGAAGGAGATGGAAGAAGGGCTCAGCAGTGGCTCTCTGCATACAGGGGACATGGTTCACAGTATTTGAGCTGAGCTTGTTGGTGGGACAATGTGATAAGACAGCCAGTATAGTACCTCCCTCCTCCACGTACAACGTGCAAGGATCCTACAGCTGGAGGTTGTGTGCTGCTGCTTTAACATTTTATAGAGGGTCAGACTGTTCAGCACAGACCAAGTCCTTCAGTAGTACAGAGGTGATATGAAGAAGCCCGGCACAAGCAGAAGGCACCTGTGTGGTACGGTATCCACCTTAAGGGATTTCTTACCTCCTCTTTCTCTAGCTGTTCATTCAGACAATGATGGGAAGGCATTTTGATCGTATAGACTTACAGAAACGGTGAGGAATTAAGTACCAGTGACACAGCATTTATGAAAAAGGGTTGACAGTTTCCTTATGCTATGACAGGCCTGATTTAAAAGATATGCGTTTTTATACAGAATTCAACTGAAGCAGGAAAACAGCATACAAAACAAATCTCTCTGTAGCAGAGCCCTTGAGGACAGCATTGATAATCTGAAATGAAACATTTCAGCCTTATCTTTTGTCAGTTCCCTCAACAAACGAGAAAGGGTTTCTATTTTAAGACTTCAGTGGTTGGCTGTAGCGCAAGGACGTATTAACTAGAAAAGACAGATACATATTAAATTGTCCTAGTCTTCCTCCCGTGGAAGGGCACTAGTAATTGCAGTAACATCCATGGTACAGAAGGATGAAAGATGAAGACAGAAGGCTTTCCAAAGGGCTGGGCCTGCAGAGGTTCTGCTGTGAACAAGGAGCACTGGCCCCTTGTGTTTGAGATCAGCTGTGCAAGACAAAGCCAGGACACTCACCCAGAGAGTACGAACACACATGTCCCCCTGAGACCACCTGGTTACAGTTCTGAGGTAAAAGCAAACCCTTAGATCGTGCCTTCATAACAACGTCAGGGGTCCAATGGTGATGCTGCTGTTTGTCACTCGGATCCCATACCATCCTGCCCAGAACTGGGTGTCTTCGCCTCCGTGCTGGAACCAGATGTAACGAACTCCAGCTGGGTAATTCTGGAAGGTGTGAGAAATCTGGAGAGAAAGAACAAAATTCCTTTAATTTGCTTAAATAAGGCAGCACTAACGTAGAAGCTCGGACAACTACAGGCTGGTCTCAGGAAAAGCTCAGTTTAAGCTATCTTTCACTGGAAGTACCTCAAAGCCCTTTTGAGGGACAGGAAAAGTCCCTGCCTTGTTCAGCCCTCTGCCCCGAAATCCTCTCCCAATGTAACATTAAGCTTGATTCTTAGGTTTGTCACGTAAGCGACGATGTCATGGGGAATCTACAGCCAATCAAACCAGTTAAACACATTTAGGAGTTTAAGAAAAGTGATGTCTACAATATTTTAAATGACATCCATGCAGCAGTTTTAAAACAAAGCTCTTTTTGATCCAATAAACCAAGAACTGTGCTCTTGTACTTCAGTTACTTAGACAAAAACCACAAACCGCCGAAGAGCCTGAGCTGAAACAACACAAAAGCCCAGGGCAAGACGCTTTAGAAAACCCTGGGCACCTACAAACCTAGCCGAGCTCTTTCCTGGCACTACTGCTTCTTCAGCACTGTCTGCAGCAAGGACTTACCTTTTGTCTTGAGCAGAGGAGGCCTGGGAGCAGAGGAGGACAGCCCACTTGGGACTTTTGGCCAAGTAAGACTTGTGAGACTCAAGTGTCACAATACTGATGGCAAAGCCACTGCCCAAGGGCTGCTGCTTACCTCTCGCCACGCTGCATCATTCCACTGCTCTATAACCACTGGCTCGGGGTGGAACTCCTCGAGGACAATGTAGTCTTCAGAAAGCAGCCTCACTGTCAGTTCGTAGCGACACCCGCAGTCAAACCTGGCAGCGTACCTGGAGAGGCAGGGAGTAACCGCGGAGCGGGGTTGTGCATGCAGTGTTCATTCAGAAACAGTCTCCGAGGGGAGCCCCCTCTGCAGAGGAAAGGGAATGTAATCCCCATGGCTATTCAGACGTTCTAAACCTGCAGGCTACCCTGTTCTTCATAGGTTTGCCACCTCCTTACACACCACTGCATCAACTTAGGTTTGGCTCATGCTTTACTCAAGAGCTACAGCTCCCAACAGACAAAGAGCCAATTTTACAGCATGAAAAGCTTCAGAGGCCTAGCTTATCTCTTGGCCAATGCCAGAAATGGTCAGTGCCTACACTTACCAATCCTTGACTACAATTTCAGGCCGTTTCTCATCCATCAACTGATTCCAGTATCCTTCTTTCTGCAGCGTAATGAGTTGAGACTTGAAGCAGGGCCTGCAACGGCAATAGAAATGGTCGCAATTTCACCAAACACATCTCCACATCTCGTCCCTCTCCACATCCACATTTTGCCTGACAGCCTTACTCTTAGCAAAAGCCCACTCCGATCCGGAAGGCCCGCAAGGCTGACACAGCTCAGGCATGCCCTTTTCCAAAGCCAGAACTAGACAAGCAAGGGAACGGATTAGCTTCGCTCCCAGATAAAAGGAAGAGTTTCCTACGAGCTGGATTAAGAGGGGTCCCTGCGCTTGTACAGCATATATTGGTAACAGGAAACTCCTGCTTAATGGATTGAAAAGCAGCTAATCCTCCTCTGCTGACAGCTTTTATTGCAAGCTGTTAGCATGACAGACACACCTACCACTCTGGGAGATTACAGAGCTTTGACCTTGTCAGGTAAGTGCACCTGATCAGCTTGCCAAACCTTAACCTTTGCCCACCACTTTTGGTAGAAGAGGAGCAGGGATCCCACGTGGAGAGGAAATTCCTGGTAGGGACGGAGAAATTCAGTACATGCTGCGACTAATTCTCGCAGCAGTGCACCTCCCTCTTTACACCAACTAGTATGAAAGGTTAATTAAGCTCCCTCCTTTTCCCACACGTGAGCTAAGGTTCAGTGAGCTGCCGCAAGCCTTCTAACCATAGTGCCTTTGCAGACAGGAGGAAGCAGGTGTCCCAGCTCCAGGTTACTGGAATCCAGTTCTTACCCATATGAAGTGACAAAGTATTTGTGTACATTGGGGTTGGGTATGTCTTTTCCATGAGGTCCAGGCAGATCCTCAATCTTCCATTTATCTCCGTCATTAAGATCAAGTTTCCAGTGCTGGAAGTTGTCTAAAAACAGGGATATCAAAGATGAGTGTTAGGACATCAGTTTCCAGCAGTATCTCTGCTTTTGTTAAAGAATCAGCTACAGAAGAATATCAGAAATGTACTTTGATGCACTTTCAGATACCCTGTATTTTTCCTGCAGCTGAAAGCAGCTCCCATCTTGATGTTGCCATTAACGTGGCTGTCGGCAGCTAGGACAATAGGCAGCAACTTTCTGACCTCATCAGCAGCTCGTCATCAGTAATAAAGTAGAATTACTGTAGTCATATTAGTCAAGTCTGAGACAACAAAAATCCCCCAGCTGCCTGAATGCTTAATCCCGGCTCCTGACGGTTTCATTACCACGTTGTACTTGCTGTGCACATTAACCTTCGCTGTCTGCAGTGCTGGGGCCTGACTCCAAAGGTTTTTCTGGTCACAACCAGATACGCAGTTACCTGCATCTACCCACGGCAGTTTCACTGCATGGGTTTACTTGTGGGTCTGGCCCAGCAGAGATCCCTCAGTAGCTGGACAGCCCCACACCACCAGCAGTACTTGAGTAATGCAGGACACTGACTCATTCTGACTCTTAGGAAACAGCCCTCTACCATAAATAATCAAACAAACCTTCCGCACAGGGGTTTTTGATTAAGTTTCTCTTCAAGTTGCAGAGCATATAGAAGATCTTCCAGTCAGAGACGCTTCTGTCCAAATTCGGAACGTAAAACCCCTCGCGCTGGCACTTGCGTTTCCACAGGGTGGTCAGATCCACCACGTCCCGCCACTGGGTGCAGACCAGCCTGCAGGTGCAGATCAGGTCCCGGGCTGGCAGCAGCGACAGCAGCTCCACCAGGACGTCCTCGGGGAGGTCGCAAATGGTTGTCATCGCGGACCGGCGGCTTCAGGCAGGGGCTGTAGCACTACGCGATGCCAACCGCCCGGGCCCCGACCGCACACACAGCTTGGGGAAACAAGCAGAGTTTTCAC